AGGCCTGGTGAGCTTTGGTTGGGCTGGCCAAAGTAGAGTACAATAAAAAAGACCATCCCAAGGGTCAGCCAAGGCCCAGGGTCTGTTCAACAAATGACCAGGCTGTAGGTACTGACATGACTAAGAGACCCACCAGAGGAAACGGGAAAGAAGTTCTCTGTTCTCTGAGAATTCAGAGAGGAGAGTCAGCTCCAAGGAAGAGGATTTCTAGAAAAACAGAGTCCTTCTCTGGACATAGCTGCGCTCAGTGCCGAAGACAAAGGCTTCTTAGACTTGTCCCGGAGGCCCGAGGAGCTTGCACTGTAGGCCTGGGGTGGACCGAAGCCGCGAGCCCAGCGGGGCCGGGGAGACAGGGACACGGTCAAACAGCCCAGCCCCCTTTCTCCCTCAGCCAGTAACGTGTTCCATTTCAAAGTGGGTAAAGTAAAGAAAGGTTTGGTTCTGGGGCTCAAGGAAATGAATTTCCCAGATGAGTAAAGTTAAACAAGTTCAAACACCAAAGGTGATTACTTTGCTTCTATTTACAGTGGATTTGTTTTTGTTAAACAAAGAAATAGGAGAAGCGAGATTAGGGAGAGATGGTGAAAGAAGAGGCGATTACACATCCCCCTCAGCTGCTCTAGGAATACTTGTGTACTTAGAAAGAGCGAGCATTTATTCTACCTTAGCCAGCTCAGATTGTATATTAATTAAACTATACTTTGCTTAAATATTTAAATTCTTTTTAAAAAATTTAAAATTTAGAAAAAAAATTTAAATTTTAAAATTTTTTTAAATTTTTAAAAATTAAAACTCAAAGAAGTTTGCTAAATAATATCTTGTTAGTCTGATTCCAAGTACTATATGTCAGGGGGGAGGGAGGTATTTTAAATGACTTTTAAAAAATCTTTAATTTAGTAAACTTCAAAGTTAATGGTAAGAATAGTTCCATTCATCTAGCATCATAAGGCTTGTAAAGTACTTTATGCGCATTAGCCCCTTAAGTTTTGTGAAGTCAGTGCTATTATTCTCCCCATTTGATAGGCTCAGAGGTTGCACTTTAGTTAGAGCACTAGAATTGGAGTCAGGAAGACCTGAGTTCAAATCCAGCCTCAGATGCTTACTAGCTCTGTGACCCTGGGCAAGTCTCTTAGTCGCTCTCTGCCTCAGTTTCCTCTTCTGTAAAATGGGGATAACAACAGTATCTACTTCCCATGAGATAATAATTGTAAAGTAGTTGGCACAGTGCCTGGTACAGGTACTATATAAGTGCTAGCTATTATTATTATTAGTTATTAGATGAGGAAGCAGAGGTTAAGCAATTTGCCTAGCTCTTCAAAATTTAATAATAACTTGCTCAGGATCCCACAACTAATCATTATCTGAGGCTGAATTTGAACTCGGGTCTTCCTGACTCCAAGTTCAGTGCACTAGCCATTATGCTACACTGTCTCTCCTAATTAGGCAGAATTAATGAAATTACCTGGGTCCTTGTGGTTGGCAGTGATCACTTCATGAAGAGCTCAGGAACTGAATTGATGCCTTTGTGGATGAGAGCTCCCTACTCGCCTAACGTAGAAGAAGAAAAGGAAAAGATAATGAAAGAATGAAGAGAGAAGAGAAAAGATCTCTTCTGAACAGTCATCTTGGTCAGGTCCTATATTACATATACTAGCTAGATTCTAGGTCTGCGCATTGGTTCGTGACTTGTTTACAAACAAATCCTCAAATGCTCTGTGTTTCTCTGAAGGACTGTTTACTTGCTTGAGTGTAACAGCTTTCAATCAACAAACATATCCTAAGTTTTGACCATGATCCACCTTGGTTCAGGGAGGAAAGAGGGGAAGTTTAGAAGAGATAGCTCTTCTTCCCTGCCCCCACTAGAGAACTTCTTAGGGTGGCTCTTAACCTGGGGGCCGTGGGGACTGTGAATGGTTTTTGGTTTTTTGAGAATTGTTTTGTTATAATTGGTTTCCTTTATAACTTCCACATTTTATTTTAGAGATTTAGAAACCTGATTCTGAGCCAGAACCCATAGGTGTTAGCAGACTGCCAAAGGGTCCATGACATAAAAAATGATTAGCAATTCCTGGGCTAGAGTTTCCAGCTTGTTAGGGGAGTTAGGCTCAAACCTGGAAAATGACAACACAATATGACATCATCGGGTGCATTAGAGCGTCCAATACAAAGTGTGGCCAGATGCTTGAAGGGGGAAGGCTCTTAGCCCTCTGAGCATCAGAGCTAGGGCGTAGAAAGGGCGGCCTTTGAAAGTTGGGTGGGGATGTGACAAGCCAAAGGGGGAAGGAAGGTGATCTCAGGCTTAGAGGGCCACCTGAGAAAAGGCATCAGGAAAAGTGACAGGGCAGTGTAGGAGATGTCCCCAGATCCAGTATGTTTGGAACCAAAGATTTTTAAGTGGAGTGACATGCATCACAGATGCAGAGAGAGAGCTGCCTTCAAGGTTAGCTAGTCAGAAGATCGTTGGCTCATAGGGGACCTCAGAGGCCAGCCAGTTCAACCTTGCCCATTTTACAGATAGGAAATTGAGGTCTGAAGAAATTAAGGGACTTAGGATCATAGAATCATAGACTTAGTGCTGACAGGCACCTCCACAATGCAATCCAACTCTCCTCAATCAATCAAAAGTATTTGTTAAGCATCTGCTATGTGCCAGGCACTGTGCTATGCCCCTCGGATACAAGTACAAGGTATCAAACAGTCCTTACTTGCAATGACCTTACATTCTGATGGAAAAGACAAGTACGTATAAATATATATGTAAGATGGATATTTCACATAAATATAAACGTGTATGTACAAAGTAGTTAAATACAAGGTGGTTTGGTAGGGAGGGCTCTAGCATTTGTGGCAATCAGGAAAGTCTTCATGCCAAAGATAGTGCCTTAGCTGCACATTAAAAGAAAAGGGACCCTGGGAAGCAGAGGTCAGGAGGGAATGCATTTGAGGCATTGGGAAATATCTATTCCAGAGGCAGGGGGATGAGAAATGAAGTGATATCTCATGCGCTAGAAAGGGTGTTGGAACAGGGCTTTGAAAGCTGAGTAGAGGAGTCCTGGAGGCAATAGAAAACCTGTGGAGCTGGTTGGGTGACTCTTCTGCAATTAAGGAAAGCCGGTTTGGCAGCCTTGTGTAGGATGGATGGAGTGGGAGAGACCAGAGGCAGGGAGACCAAGACAGGAACCGCCTTGCCCAAGGCCACATGCCACGGGAAGTGGCAAAGCCACCATTTGAACACAGGTCATCTGATTCCAGATCCAACATGATTTCCATGACACCATGTTGCCTGAAGTCTGAATGAAGAGAACTCTTGTGGTGGCCCAGAACAGAATGAATGGCGGGCAGTCTGGTTCCTAAGCTAGGGCAGCCATCCAGGAGGGTTTGTCTCAGGGAGAGAACAGGACAGATGTTGTGAAGGCAGTCAGGGAAAAATGGGCAAATAACGTGAATATGGGCCAACAGTAACTTGGCCATATTAGTAACCAAACTTCATCTGGTTAAAGATACTTGATGAGGTGAAGAATGGAATCGTGTTTTATTTACTGGCATTTGACAGCTGTTAGCCAGGGAAATGAGACACTCTGGCCTGTCTAACTAAACGGATACACCTGAGCCCTTTCAGACAAAACCACTTTACTCTAGACATCAGGTGGTTTGATTGAATGAGCAGATTGTCGAGGTGTACCACCTGTGAGGCTCATGCCAGTGGTAGGCTTTCTTAATGAGAGTGAGGTGTATCTCTTCTCAGTTCCCGTGAACGCATGTAAGTTTGCAAGGACTCTAATCCTCATTCAACTTAGGCCTCTCCCAGAATGTCAGAGTCAGAAGGGACTTCAAAGGTTTTCTAGTCCAACCTATACCCCAAATGGCTAGAAACTGCTTTGGATATAATAGCATTCTGGTAATTCTTTAGGTGTAATGATAATTCTTAGGTATAATAACATTTGCAATAATTCTTTAGGCATAATAATAATTCTTAGGTATCTAGTCCTGCCTTGAAAATTGTCAAATATATTTGAAAAAAAAAATCAGTTCTGAATTGCTTAGGGTTTACTTCCCCGAAGGGAATGCAAAATCACCAGGTAACAGCCTTCTGGACTTCCTCATTTTAGGTGTTTTAGGTAGCATTTATATACAGCTTTTTTATATTTTTTTGGCTAGGCAGTGGGGTTAAGTGACTTGCCCAGGGTCACGCAGCTAGTAAGTGTTATGTGTCTGATGCCAGATTTGAACTCAAGTCCTGATGAATCCAAGACCAGTGCTCTATCCACTGCTCTACCTAGCTGCCCCTGTATACAGCTTTAAGGTTTGCAAAGCACTCAGCAAATAGTGACTCATCCGACGTAGAGTGTAAGCTGGTAGGTAGGGACCATCTTTTGTATTTGTATCCTCCATCTTTGGCACACAGTAGGCACTTAATAGATGCTGGGTGATTGTTTGACTCGGAGATCATTCTCTTGTCTATTCTATCCTTTACTGTGTGCATATGGAGAAGACACTTTCATTTCAGGAAGATAGATCAATTTCTTGCTGAATTTCACAATCTGTCTTTCAAGATAAAGTTTTCAGCCTGTTAATTTTCTCTTCCTTTTAATTTTCTTTTCCTGTGTAACAATTTGCAGGACTGGCATGTGATGGGGCGTTATCCTTCACACAGACAGATAAATATTGAAACATTTTTTGTACTAGTTTAATAACCTTCAGTCACATTTTTATTAAATAATAAGTAGATGTTTCATTAGTGTTTGAATTAGTGCTGCTTTCCATAATTAACAGTCAGATGAAGCAAGAGGCTCTTGACCTTCTATTTCCAGTTTCATTTGAGTACGGAATGAAGCAATGGTGTTAAAGAGGATTCTTCCGCTTGGGATCAGAACCTTCCCCAGCTGTTACTCCAGTTCACTTCAGTGATTGTGACTATTGGGTGGGAGTCCGAGGCTTTCCGTGCCGATCTTAAACTCATCAGGTCGCTCGTTAACATGTTCACCTTTTATCTCTTTCAGGAGGTCCATGATTTGCTGAAAGACTATGAATTAAAGTACTGTTATGTGGACAGAAACAAAAGAACAGGTAAGAGCTTTTCTGCGTTTCTGCGATCTTCCTGCAGTTATCCATTGCCTCTTCTCTTCCAAAGCCAGTGCCTCTGTCTCCTCATCAATATAATGGACTTGGGTGAAATGGTTTCTGAGTTCCCTTCATGGGAACTAGTCTAAAGTTCTGTCATAATATCTTATAACGGCTACCATTTGTGTGGCCCTTTAAAATTTGCAAAGTGCTTTATAAAGATTATCTTATTTGATCCTTACAACAACCCTTAGAAGCTATTATTATCCCCATTTTACAGTTGAGAAGCTGGGGCAAATAGAGGTTGCGTGACTTGCCCAGGGTCACACAGTTAGTGAGTGTGACACTCAGTTACTAAGACATGAACTCAGGTCTTCCTGACTCCAGGCCCAGCACTCTATGCACAGCACTCTATCTATGCACGGCACCACCCAGTGTCCTACATTATCCGTAGCATCAAAATCTCATCCAATGTGTTGACTCCACAGTGGAAAGAGTGCTGGCTCTGGGTCGGAATTCTGCCTCAGATACTTACTACCTGTGTGACTGAGCAAGGAATTTCATCTCCCTGGGTCCCTGTTTCCTCATTTGTAAAATGAAGGGATTGGACCAGACGGCCTCTTGAGTTTCCTTGAATGATCATAATCATAGTGATGGTGATGATGATGGTGATGATAAACAAACATTTATATAACACATCTTATGTGCCAGGCACTATACTAAGTGCTTTACAAATATTATCTCTTTTGATCCTCACAACAACCTCAGTAGGTAGCTGCTAATATTATCTCCATTTTACAGTTGGGGAAGCTGAGGCAGGTAAAGGTTAAATAACTTGCCCAGAGTCACACAGCTGGTTAGTGTCCAAGGCTAGATTTAAACTCAGGTCTTCCTGACTCCACTATGCTAACTGCCCCCAGTCTAGGGCTGTAATGTGTATGGAGTACACACTCTTCTGTACAGTTGAAGGATGATGAGAGTGTGTGGTAAAAGCTTTTGATCATTCATTCATTCATTCATTCATTCAGTGCTTACTGTCTATGCAGCGGGGGAAGTGCCAGGTTTGAATAAGGTCCCATTCTGGTTGTCTTGGGACAGAGGGCGTTCAGGCAACAGATCATTCAGCAGGAGTTCATTAAATGCTTTCTCTGAGCCAGATTCAGGGCTAAGCGCCAAGAAGGGCAAAGACCAGCCCTGAATCTCAGGGAGCTCCTCTTTCTAGCTGGGGAGACAACATATCAGTCCCAGTCTCTACAGCAAATGCCTTTGGCCTTGATCCCAAGCTTCTCCTCAAGCAGATGGACCAAATGTGAGGCACGTGCTTGGGCTCCCCCTGGATGCTTTGTTCTTGGACCTATCCTCCTATTTCTGTCTGCTCTGGGATGAAGTCATCCGCTGGGCCTGTTTCTGCTTAATACTTTTCAACAGGCTTTCATGTGCCTTCTCTCACTGGATTCTTCCTACAGTACTTAGAACGACACGAGGCATTCCTGCCATTTCAAAAGAGAGGAAACGAGGGCCCTGAGAAGTGTTGGCAGACCTGACCCATTGCAGGTGGTTTATGGCTGGAGACCAGGTCTCCCCTCCAAAGTCTAGTGTTCTTTCCAGTCAAGTCCCTTTCAGTTCTTCTCATTCTCTGATTCTGTTGGTCTCTGGTTGTGGGCTTGAGAACTTCCTAAGTCTTGTCAAATGTGATGTACCCATTTCTGGTGATTCAAATGAGGACAAACCGTGCCACTAGAAGCATCTCTTGGGAATGTGACGTCCTAGAAAGAAAACAGAAGCCTTCAGTGGCACCAGTAATTACTGCTGCTGTTTAAGAGAGGACCTGTAGGTGAGAAAGGAGGATATAAGAAGCAGACAGCTGGCTAAGAAGATATATGGGAGAATGGCATTTGAATAAGATGAAGGAATGAGAGCAAGCATTTATTAAGTACTTACTATGTGCCGGGCACTATTCCAGGCACTGGAGATCCAAACATAAAAAATAAAATGATCCCTACTGAAGGAGTATGCATTCTAATGGGGCAAACAACATCGACATCTGTCTATAAGTAATATGGCTAGGTGGCACAGTGGATAGAGTGCTGGACCTGAAGCCAGGACGACTCATCTTCCTGAGTTCAAATCTGATCTCAGACACTTAGTAGCTATGTGACCCTGGGTAAGTTACTTAACCCTGTTTGCCTCAGTTTCCTCATTTGCAAAATGAGCTGGGGAAGGAAATGGCCAACCATTGCAGCATCTCTGCCAAGAAAACCCCCAGTGGGGTCACGAAGATCTTGACACGACTGGAATGAGTATGCAACAATAGCGAATACAGAAGAAACAGGAAGGGAACGGACACACAGATACAAGGTAGTTCAGGGCGGGGGAGGTGCTAGCAGCTGAGAGGAATCAGGGAAGACTCTTTATTGAAGGAATTCTTGAAAGGTGGAGGTGGTGTTCCCTGAAGGACAGCCCTGGGGTGCTTTGTGCCTCCTCTGCACAGAGAGAAGTGACTCCTGATTGGCTGAGAGACCTCAAACCTGTGACAGCAGTTTCTCTGTGGAAAGACTTCAGAAAGGAAAGGGAGACGTGTAGATCCAGAGAGGTGGGGATGAGACAGAAGTTCTGAACTTTAAAGTGTCCAGTGAGAGCCCCTGGAGCTGTAGACATGTGGAGCATGCACTCTGCTCCCCAGTGTGTCCCTTGATTCCCAGGACCTACATTCCTGTGGAATGCTAAAAGTAGCTTTCCTGGTGATGTTGTCCTCTCTCTGGTTGAGGTGAGATTTTATCTTAATCCCGAGCTTATTTACTCTTGAATGTGCTATTGTCTACTCTAAAATATAGAACTTCCTCGATTTTTGTCTTACTGTTTGTTTTGATAAATATGTGGTGCACTATTCATTGTTGTTTTTTGTATAGCCAGTAAGAACGAGCTAAGCTGACAGAGTACTCTGTTACTGTCCTCTTTGGAGCAACCTGGGAGAGTGGCTTTTACCTCACACTCCTCGAAGAGGACGTGGTGCCACCAAACTACCAATACTGGACGTGTAGTAGATCCAATTCTAGCCCACTACTCCTGTACGGTGGGAGAGTGAAGGAGCAAGCCTCTGTTGGTCCCTGCCAATGTAGAAATCAAAATCTCCCTTAGAAATGGGTTGGGCCAGATCTCAGATAAAATTTCTATCTATCCATGGTATATATTGTCCAGCCATTTTATGTTAGATAGCTATCAGTCTATGTTACATGGAAATAAAGCACCCAGCCCCCACTTTATAATCAGAACATTTCCTGATTAGCTTAGAGGACTGGAGAATGGGCCAGTGAGCTCAGTTTAACATTAGGAGGTGGGGGGATCACAGGATATTCTGGGAGATAATCTGATACAAAAGAAACCATTGTCATCTGGGACCTTTAAAGGACACAGGTGCTTCATGATAGGAGAGGACAGCCATAATGGACTAACCTAGTTCTGGTGAACTCAAGGTAAATAAGACAGCTTAGTAAGTTTGGTACATCTGTTTGGGGGATAGTGTCTGTCTGTCTGTCTGTCTGTCTGCTCTCTCTCTCTCTCTCTCTCTCTCTCTCTCCTCTCTCTCTCTCTCTCTCTCTCTCTCCTCTCCCTCTCCCTCTCCCTCTCCCTCTCCCTCTCCCCCCCTCCAAAATGGCATACATACATACACATATATGTGTGTATATATCTATAGTATATGTACATAGAATGTGTGCATATATGTGCATTCCAAATATATATGCATCTCACATATCCTTATCCTGGTATGCTATTTTTGAATGTCTATATTTTCCTTTCCCTTGTAAATAAACCCTAAGGGAAATAACAGAAGGTGATCTTTGAGTTACATCTTGAAAGGATGGATTCCAAGAGCTGGAGAGGAGGAGAGCCAGCCTTGTAGGCGATTGGGATAGCCAGTGCAAAGGCAGATAGCCGGGCTCTGCAGAGCCATGTGTGCTGAGCAGGAAGAAGGCCGTTCGGGTTGGGTTTTGGGTAGGATAAAGGGAGCAGTGGACAATAAGCCTGGAAGGATAGGTGGGGATGGCCGTAAGTGCCGTAAATGAAGTAGAAGAGCTTCTGTTGAACCCCATAAGCAATAAGGAACCACTGGAGTTTACGAAGCAGGTGCCAGACTCCTGGAAAATACAGTAGGGGAAGAGATCAAGGGAATATGTAGAAGTGTTGGTGTTGGCAAGGAGAAGAACACCTCACCAGAGACTGGGAAAAAGAAGACAGAATGGAGGCTGGCATCGAAGGGGGAGGAAAGTGTCATTGAGTGAAATAGCCTTTATTTTCTCAGTAAAGTATGAGGCAAAGAACTCAGCTGAGAAAGAAAAGGAGGAAAGGTGTGGGTGAGTGGAGGAGGGGAGAGAAGGTCTGAAATAGCTTCTTTGGGGAATGAGGCAGGGAATCAATGAGGGAGGAATGAAGCAAGTGACCTTAATGCCGCCTCATGGATGTCACCAAGACTTGGTGGGAAATATAGCTCATGACTAGACTATGACAATGGAAGGTTATCATTTATTCCAAAATGGATTCAGTCAAAGGGGTGATGGAGTAGTATGTGATGTTCAGAAGAAATACTGCTTTGTGAACATCAGCTTTCCTGAGGGGCCTAGAATGTTGGAAAACTTTGGAGTACTCACTAAAAGAGGGAGAGACGGGTGCATTGTGGACTGTCTGCCCAGAAGGAAGAACTGAATGGGGAATTCTACTGGCAGATAACCAAGTTGGCACAAAGGCGGGATGGTGTGACTAGAGGGCTCAACTCTGTGTACGTGCTAGATCTCTTTCTGCTGAAAGCTGCTTGACCAATTGTTAGTTCATTTTATCTTATGAATTGGGTAAATTAGGCCACATAGGGGACTATTTGAGACTTGATTCTAACCAACAAGGAGAAAGTGATTGTCAAATAGAAATGAAAGGAACCTTGGGAGAAAATGGCAATATCATCTTAGAACTTGTGATAGGAAAAAGTGTGTGTGTGTGTGTGTGTGTGTGTGTGT